TTCTATGGCATCTAGTGACGTGTTAACACGTTGTGTCCGACCAAGTCATGCCTAGGGGGTACATATACGAGCCTGCCTGGTGGGTCCATGTGCGCGTGCATAGGCCATGTGTGGAGAAGCATCACACATCGAACCCTACCCATAGCTGGAAAGACCATAAGGTCATGTTATGATTTGAAAATAGGTCCCAATCCTATTATGTTTATTATTGCATTACTAACCCCAAAAGTGAGATGACTTACTGAGTATTTCTAAAAATACTGAAGCCACATGCACCCTTATATTTTTTGGTAAAGGTAAAGCTCCCATACATAGATGACGAAGAATGCTAGAAAAGCCATGAAGTCAAGATAGGTCAATATAGGGTAGTAGAATACATTATTTTACATTTAATAGTTAATAGGTAGTTTCTTTATATTTGATGTTAAAAGACTGTTATTTCAAACTTCTTATTTTTTAATTAAATATGTAAGTCCATGACTATATTATTAAGTATTAATTGTGAATTTTTGCATATGTGTTTAAAGCAACGTAGTGACGTCACTAACTTAGGGGCGCTAAAAAATACTCAATAAGCAATCTACTGGTATCTCATTGCATTCTTAACCTAGTAAGTATCCACGGGCTTTACTTTGGGCTTATGGAAGTTTGGGCCTAGGTTCCAATGCTATTTGAGCAACTGGGTACTGCGACACTCCGTGCAAGTCTTTTAAATTGAAGTGTACCCCCTAGGGGTTTTCCAATCTTTCATTTCTACAACTTAGGTGGCTTGTCTTGCTTACGTCGTGAATGACTAGTGTCCTAGGTTAAGGACAAACCTCATAAGCTGCAAAACAGTATGGCTTGATCTGAATTTGAACATCATACATGGAGGTTAGTCGACAGACCCTCCCACAAGACCATAAAGTGCCAAAGTTTCGGGAAAACGATATCCCATGTGCTTGTTAGCTACTAGGCCAACCTACATGGTCCCTTGTTCCCTCACTCAAGGTCAACACAGAAGTCCTATTCATGAGAGCCCTAGCCATTTCAACTAGGTTGGGGCTTGTGTCGTGCTACTCTAACTGGTGACGCCTAGCACCACAGTACAAGAACTGGAGTAGAGTCTCAATGGTACAAAATAGGAGCAGAAAGGGTAGTAGACAGACTAGTGACACTGTTGACACTTCTTTAGCCTGATGAGCCATCTTGGTTGTTCTTCGTTGCTATGGAGGCCTACAAGGTTCTTAAGGGCTTTTAGGCGGTTTAAATCTCATCTCCGCTTCCAAGATGCTGAGGGCTAACTCCTTTAAGCTAATCCAAGTCTTTAGGTGCACTTAAGTTTAGATCTCTGATTCTTGCTAACGATCCTAGGCTGTAAGGTCTGCTAGAAATGTTTTGACCTAGATCAAAGTGTAGACTGTACAAGCTATCGCGCCCTAATCTTAACTGAGTTTCTTTCATGCATGTTTTTCTAGGGAGTTATACCTATCGATAACCTAAGCGCGTAATCTATAATTTAAACTTTGCCTTGGTCATATTTGGGAGCTAAGGAGGTCTATTGGGTTCCTAGGACGGCTAGGTGGCTCAACATATAAAAACAACATTCATCACAAATTTCATCATAGGGGCATTTTGGAAATTATTTACATCATGCATAACATTCTCGTCTGTATTGCCCAACTAATATTCTAGTCATGCATATTCTCTTTCTAGCTTCACATAATACATAAAACAACATGGTTCTTGGAAATTTCAACCAAAGAGCCATAACATACATACGATACAATTGTAAAATTCGCGAGAGTGGAGGACAGATCGAAATAGAGTCAACGATAGTCGGGATTTGAATGGAAGAGCAACGAAGAAGTACATCGGAAACTTTTAGGAAGAGAGAAATATAATTGAAACTTTCGAAGAAATCGGGTGAGAAAGAAAGGGTCCACGAGTCAAAACGCGGGTCAGATACCCATATCCATACCCGTTTCCAACCGTTCTCACAACCCACCTGACACACGCAGCCCAATGGTCCATTAAGCCTAGTAGACGCTCGCAACCCAACGACCTCAATTTACCTCTATGTGAAACTTCTTCCTTTGTCTTGTTCTTTGTGTTTTGTAATAGATCTACACGTAAAGAATTAAAAAAAAAAATTAAACTTCAAAGGAATAAAGGTAATATTCTTGGAGGAAGCATATTATGCGAGCAAAGATGGATGACTGTCAAACATATACATGATGAGTCAAATTTGAGCTCTTGGTTAGAAGAATTTTGCTATAGTAGAGTGTATCTTCATCTTCAATTCATCCTCAAATGCTATGTAGAATGTAGAAATGGTAGAATGTAGAAATGGCAACTTTTCACATGCGAGCACCTTTAATAGAATAAAGAATTTTTAATAGAATAAAGAATTTTGAAAGATCTCGACGATATTATTAAAAATTTATGAATTTTTATAATGTTTTTGTATTAGTTTTATTATGGTATAATAGAGTATGAAAGTATAACTTATATGTTCATATAAAAATATTTTATAAGGCTATTTATTAAATTTATAATATGTTTGTATATTTTTAAATTCTAAATAACATTTTTTCAATCCTATTGTATTTCTAAATACTTTTTTATTGAAATGTTTTATTAATTTTGTTATATTTTTATTATTTGGTGTAAAGAGTATAAAGTCATACATACATAATTTCATTTTATTGTTTAAATATAAATGAACTATATTTAAAATTTACTTTAAACACTCTTTATAGTTAAATTTACGAAATACTTCATCATAGCTTTCATTCATAATTGAAATTTCATAATCTATTTATATTTTTAAATAAAATATTATACAAATTTTTAGAAGGGTTGTTATCTAAGTGATGCACGATAAAATATTCATTAAATATTTAAGATCACAATATCATTTAGTTGAACTATCATCTTTTATCATCTTTGATCGTTGAACTATCATATTTGATTCTTTTATATAGATAAGATATTCATTTCATTCACCTCCATAAATATATAGAATAAAATATACGACTTTTTTTTTTGTAAAATAAGTAAATAAGGAAAGTGTTTAATAAAAATAAATAAATAAGCTTAGAAAATAACATACTAATCGTAAAACCCACTTTTGGTGTTACGTAAAATTTTGCATTTTAAAATAAAAGGTAACACATGGAGATTAACAATTTTAGAATATAAATTTATAAAATTAATAAAATCATCCAAATACATTTTCGGGGTTAAACAAAAGAGTTTACAAAATGTTCAAATATGGAATACAATGACAAAATACCTAAAGACAATAGGACACGGATCTAAAGGTCCTACTGCAGCTACACGACTCCAAAACACTTCTGTCAACGACTACTTTGTTACGAATCATCCTATTCAATGTTCTTAATATCATGTATCTATATCATAGGTCATTTTAGGACAACACCTAGGTGCATCGTCTCCATCGAGCTCGTCTGGATTTCTATGGTCTACCAATTCCATGGTCCATATCACCCTACATTTGATCTATCAAGCCTTGTCACTCCTCTCTCAAGGTGTACTTCACTCATCTAGGTTATTCGGGTTTCTAGATGCATTTAGTTGATCGGTTACTAATCTTATTGGTTTGTCTAGGTCCTAACGTGATATGTGCAGAAGAACGTAGATACCTCATCCATCTCAAACTGAAGTGTCATCTAACATATATGGATCATGTCTCTTTTAATAGAATTCTTGATTAGTAACAACTCTATAGTCAACCCATAGTATCCATAATGTCTAATGTTGTACGCTAGTTGTTGCTCCCTTAACGATACTTAACAAGCTCCCTATTAAGCACTATTTTAGGCTCCCTCAATAGTGCAAGAGAGGCTCATCATTAAGTATACCACAGATTTTAGGTGGTGACTTCACATCTCTCTATGGTAGACCCTCACCAATTGAGACAAGTTCATAATTTAGAGTCTACCAAAGTATAGTAACTATATGGAAAAAACTCACAATCATGTACATACATCATCTAGATCACACGGTAATTCAATAGTCATCAACATGCTTAAATTACATAAAACTTTCTCGTCTCCCCTATAAGGTTTATTTCTTCATACAAACTAAATTAAACAGACAAAACTCACATCGCAATCATGTAAAATTGATAGAATAAGAAAAGAGAGTAAGAAATTAGAGAGTTATCAAACTTTGTTGCTATCCTTCAATGGAAGTTCCCTTCCTATGAGCTCTCACGTCTACCTCCTTGCCTTAATCTATCCGTCTTGGTCTTCTTTTCCTTCTATAGTCACAGTTGCTGGATTAGGGTTTTTCTTCTTATTCTCTGGTTTCATAGCAGTTTGCAAAAGAGTCATATGCTGTCTCTTCCAATTTCTTTCCAAAATGTGGCTTCCTCTCTTTGTAGGTAACTTTTTCTTATATATTCTTCATTACTTCCCATGTATGGTTGAAAAGGAGTAAACCGTCCACCTAGGATGTTCCTAATTAGGTAGTCAATGACCCACTTGACTTGCTGATTTGGATTATAATTTCAGTGTGAGTCTCGGAAAAATTTGTGTTTCGTATTGCTTCAAAATCAACAATTTGTTGGCAGATTGCCAACAGAGTTGTTTCCAGATTTGCTATAACATCATGGTTCAATATATATGCTTTGAAATTTTACCAAATAACTCAATTAAATGTACAATTAGGCTCGAATCATGTAAATTGATATTCTTTTCATGTTTAACCACAATAAACTATTTCATATTTACTCGTTAGAATAAATGGAGCAATCATTGAGAAAATGGTTTGTATGAGTGTAAATTTAACTACAAAACGCTCTAGTCTAGGTTTGTCGTTTCTTCTTTTTCTCAACAAGAAAGACAACACAAGCAATCATGCACTTGAGTTAACATGGTTCATGTAATATTAACAAACATGCTCAACAGGAGATAACGTCCATCTTCACCCAGAGCGCAGATTTCACAAATTTCCCTTCCTCCTTTCACATGCATACAATATCACAATCTCATCCTAAAGTGAATTCATAGTCGATCGATTCTAGCTACCATTAATTTGCTTATTTAATTCTTTTTTCACGACTTATATACTAATATAACCAAGTCCGACTAGCTAGGATTACCAGTTTGACAGCATGCATGCTAATTCCAAGCAGTTCCTATAAGTATTACTTATGGGAATCCTATGGTTACTTACATGGTTGACGCGTGCCTTTTCGAGCTCAAATTTCTTACTGGAGAGGATTCCAAATATTCTGAAATTTCCTTGATGGGTCCTAATTCACATTAAAGTAAGGTCAGTATTGAAATCAGAGTGAAAAACTAACAAATGGAGGTGGAACGAAGTAAAATGGACCACTCACGTGCTTCTCATGCGCTTTTGAGGGTGCTTACGCGCAAGTTTCCTATGTAGCCGCGGGTTGAACGTTGGGTCGTGTGTCGGTTGTCTGTTAAGATTCGGGCCAACCTAGATCCGTGCGCCTGATGCGTGTCTTCTCGCAGCTCAGACGCGTTTCTCCAATGAAATTGTGGCATGTGTCGCTTGTCGTTTCCATCGCGCTCCTCCGTACAGTGGGCGATGCTTGGCGGTGGTTCCCTTTCTCTTGCGCGTTTTTCAAATTTCCAGAATGTTAGGATTTTTACATTTTCGATCTATTTTTTTCAGATTGCTGTATCTTAACGCACACAACTCGAATCAACTTAGTTTCTTCACCAAAATTGTAGAGTTTCTATCCACCTACGCCGTCGTATTTTTCTTATATTTTTTACTTGAACACTGAGTGAATTAAGAACATTCAAAGATGTAGAAAAACTCACATTACGGTTCTTGACCAGTTCGCCGTTCTCCAACTTGGACTCCGATTTTCATCTAAGATTTCTTTGTGAATCCTCTTTTAGTTATACATTTCAAAAATTTTAGATCTATCACTCAAGAAACTCCTCATCTCTAGGTAAAATCGAAATAAAAATGCCAAAACTATACCATGTTTAGTTCTCGGGTTTTCTTGTTGGAATGGGCAAATCCACCACCCAAACCTTTCTTCCAACACCGAGTCTCGGTAGTTTTGATTCAAAGCTTCTTGCCTTGGGTTGATCTCCAACGGTAAATTTAGGGCGGCCGACTTCTCTCTCCTCCTTCTTTCCAAAACCTTCTTCTTTCTTCTCTCTTTTCCTTTTCCTCTTTTCTTTCTCTCTCTTTCTTGTTCTATCCTATCCACATAGACCAGGTAGGAGTAGGGACAGGGCCAAAATGTCGGTTGACTTTGACCTTTTTTTTTTTTTTGCCCAACTATTTAGCATAATTTCCTTTTTCATCGACTTGAGTCTCCGTGTCCTCGACCTACAATAAATCTCATGATCTTATTATATGCATCTATTTTGAATCTTAGGAAGGAAAAATAAGGGTCGATAATACCTCATGAATTCGGGTGTTATATGAACCTTCCTTATTATTGTTGATTTTCTCGTTTCTCTCTGTTTTTCGACAGCTGTTACCACTGTGAATATATTTGTTTAGATAGTATAAACTCATCAACACACATTTGAATGATACTAAAAACTCACTTAATTTTCATCAACGAAAGTAATATGTTTTTTTTTTTTTTGTGAAATCTATAATTTACTTATTACTTGCCAATTGGGATATAGTATACTTGTAAATTTTACACCATTTTACTATATACTTTTACAAGTGATCACAAGTCTATGGCTTTGTTATGACACATTTAAATGAATTTTCTGCGCATTATAGACATGTTATGTATGTAGCGGCGACATTGATTTCAATAGGAAATTAGGGGTGTTACATTTACGAACTAACATTTTACTTTTATTAAAAATAAAAATTTGAATAAATCCAAATCAACTCAACTCAAAAAGACTCAAAAAGTTTATGGTTGGGTTGGATTGTATTCATTATTTAATAAGAATTGTTTGAATTGAAAGTTTACAGGCCCGAATAATTGAGCTGAATCTAAAAAGCTTTCCTATCCGACCTAACCCAATCTATAAACACCCCTAATTTCTAGACATCATAAGTCATCTTATTTGTAACATCTGAAACAAAATCTTGAACTAAACAATCCTTGTCCTTCCTAAAGCCCGTTTGGAGTTTTTGGCTATAGATTAAGCAATATAATAATAAATAGCATTCAATTAAGCAACAAAACGAGACTTTAACATATCAATGAATCAACAACATCAAAGACATCCTTTTACTTTTACAAACATCATAACATTTTGAAAGCTTAAAAAACAAAGGAAATCTCATATCCCTCATAGGATTATGGCTCAAAGTTTAGTCAACCTTCTCAATGAATGCATTGTGGATCTTCAATCCCCCCTTCCACTTTGAACTCCAAACTTCATACAACCCAAGGTGGATGCTTTTCTCTTTGGCTGTTGAACGATCAATTGAGATTACTAAAGGCGTCCTAGGAATGATAAACTTTTGCTCTGGGTGGTCGTCTCCAAGAGACACTTTCTTAGGGAAGAAGTTTCCTTTCTTCCCAACCTTAGCCATTACATAAACATCAAGCCCCTTCCATCCAAATGCATCTGGCCTTAGTGAAACATTGAAACCCACATTGTACCTCTTTCCAAACTCTACTTTATCAGTTGAGCATGTCACTTCAAGCCATGAAACTTGCTTCAGCTCGGCCACCGGCCTGCACAAAATGACCCAACTTTGTTAGATCACTCGATCCCGGTGAGTCAATGAGCTTTACTTGTTCAAAGTCGAACAAGGAGCATTAGAAGTTATTAGTCGTGGAGCATTTTTAGAAAATGTTATTAATTGTAGAGTATTTCTAGGAGAAGAATTGTTTGAATAGTGTGTTTTATTCTCAAGCAATGGTGTTATTTATTATCTCTTTCTGTTTCGGTTATTTATTTCGGTGTGTTTTGATCGAGAATCAAAACCAATAAAACCCAATAACTTAATTTGATATCAGATTAGGTTGCACACACCTTAGCTAATTTCATTAAACATAATCTATGTTGAGGATTGTTGGGAGAGAGTCACACATTCACTAATTTAGATAATGATTATGAGTTTATAAGCAAGTAATACATCTCCATTGGTAAGAGGCCTTTTGGGGAAGCCCAAATCAAAGCCACGAGAGCTTAGGTTCTAAGTGGACAATATTATACTATTGCGAAGAGTCGTAATGTCTTTAACTTAGCCATGTTAATAGAATCCTCAGATGTCGAACAAAAAAAAGTTGTGAGTCCAGAAAGTGTAGTCAAAAGTGACTCAATTGTCAAACAAAGGGTGTACTTTGTTCGAGGGCTCTATAGACCTCATGGAAGGCTCTATAGTATACTTTGTTCGAGAGGAGGATTGTTGAGAGAGAGTTCCCCATTGGCTAATTTAGGAAATGATCATAGGTTTATATATCAAAAAACTGGTAATATTAAGTAAAAAGCATCCTATTCGAATCCGAGCTTTAAAATTAACACAATATATAAGGTTTACACACTAAATTATCCATTACTCTTATTACAAGTTAATTTACCATTTATCAAAAAGCTCAAGTAAATAGACACTTACTCGTCGGAGTTGACAATACGCCAATAACGCTCATCATTGCCCCATGTGATATTAAAACCTCTCGGATAAATTGTGAGCTTTTCAAAGATCAAACATTAAAAAACTATAAGAACACTAATAAAAATCATGAGTTTCATTCAATAATTTAAAGAAAAGAAATCACAAAGGCTATCCAACAACCAAACCTTGTTATTTTCCTCGCGAAAGGCATCTTCTTCTGCTGCGTGGTGAGGCCCAGTTTGCATTATTGGACAAGAAAAATCAAGAACTTGAATGAAAAATGATGAACAAAGAGACATTGAAATGAATTATTTATAGAATGAAGAAGAAAGGGTGTTAGTAGATAAGAACAACGCCATGGGAAAAAGAAAAAGTAAAGGGGTTGTCTAGAAAGAGCATCTGCATTATTATATTTTCCATGGGAAAGATGATGATAAAGTTGAAAGATTGAATGATGGGTGGTGCTAAGAAGCTTCCTTTACCATAAAAAGAATGACAAAAAAAAAAAAAAAGAGGGTTTTGCTTAGTTTTGATTCATTCGTGAAGCTTCTTCCTTTGTTTTTATTGTTTCTACACGCAAGAATAAATTCTGCCTTGGAATCTCTAGCGTTTCTTTTTCTTTTTCTTTTTATACTTTACTTTGGCACAATATCTAAATTAAAAAATGTGAATAGATCCGAAAATATTATTACTCAAATAAATCAAATAAACCATAACAGTTAAGAATGAAAAATAAAATTAAGATCGAAAGTTCAATCTTCAAAATAGAATTGAGATCGAAGGTTCAGTCTTCAAAATAGAATTGAGATCGAAGGTTCAGTCTTCAAAATAGAATTGGGATCGAATGTTGAATCTCTGGGATAGAATGTTGAATCTCTCGGATGGAAGGTTCAATCTTCATTGATATTCAATGGTTTAAATAGGATACAAGATACCCATTAATACCTACAAATCAGAAAAATATAAACTAACTAAATCTTCATAATTAAATAAAATATACTACCAATCAACTTATTACTAATATTGATATATTTTATAACTAATATATCATCCAAATGTTAAACGAATATCTTGACTAATTCAAACTATCCATAAATTGCACTAAATTTGAAGCGTAAAGATTTGCAAAGTGCAAGTTTATTGCAAGTGCTGTAACTTTGTTCATATAGTTAATATATATATATATATATATATATATATAAAAGTGATGTTGTCGGTGAGATTTGGGTTGAATAGTTCGAGGTGGTACCTAAGAAAAGGATGTTGGAATAAGCATATTGTGTGGGTAAGGATGCGTGTATGTCGGTGTAGATTAGTTAAATTAAACCGAACCAATCTAAATTTATTATTAATTTTAAAAAAATACAATTTTGTGTAAATATTTATTTTATTTTATAATTAATTTATGTTATTTATTCTTTTAACAACTCTAATAAAAGGTTTTTAACTATATGAAAGGTAATTTTTTTAAAATATGTATTTAAAAGGAAGGGGTGAATCTTAATTGAATGTAGGAAATAAATAATTAGATGCTTTACCCACCAACCTTTACTTTTACTAAAGATAAAAATGGAAATAAATGTGTAACTCTCCTAATTGTTTTTCTTTTAAATAAGTGATGTCACTACATCCCTGCTTTAAACACATAAAACACATATGTGGAACTCATAATAAATAGTTTTAAAATATGGTCATAGACTTCCATATTCAGTTAAATGAATAAGTCTTTTGAACATAAAATAAACGGCATCAAAAACACCTATCAACTATTAATGAAATTCAATGCATTACTTGCCCTATCATGGTCTATCTTAACTTTTATGGTCTTTTCAACGTTCACTGTCATTCGTGCATAAGAATTTTACATTTACATCAAAAATATAAGGTAACACGTGGCTTTAGTATTTTAAGAAATACTCTATAAGTCATCTCACTGTTGGAGTTAGTGATGTGATTAGACATATAACATGATTTCATACCTATCTTTTAAAATCGTAACATGATCTTGGACTCTTCCAGTTCAGGGTATGTAGGGTTGGATTGTGGTACTTCCCCACACACAGCCTATGTATGCCCACATGGACCCACCAGGCAAGCTCGTATACGTACCCTTGGGTATGGCTTGATCAGGCATAACGCATTACACGTCATCAGACGCCACAAAAAAGGAAAGGTCCGCATAATATCATGGAAAACATAAATATCAAACGTACGCGTCTGTACTAACATAACATAACAAGAAAGTATCCCAATACACATAACATACATACATGCATGAGGTCCTCGTGGTTTACATTCATGGCATAGCATTAACATCATTCAATTTCTCCTTTTCATCCATAACATATTACATAAATGCATTATGTATACATGGATATCATCACATTATCCATCACATAACTTCGCATGGTAAGACATAACATGACATACATAGTATTTCATTTCATTCATAACATTGCCTAATGGATATGACATGCATACATAACATCGCATCATAATGTCTATCCATGGAGCACATAAGCATAGCATGAAATAATATGATGTATGCAGGGGCCACGAGGCATGCACCATCATACATCACTCAATATATCTAACTCCAAGAGTAAGGTTACTTGCTTGGTTAGCGTTAGCAGAAGTTACTAATTATTCTATAGCTGCTTCAAAAACTATATTCTAATGCTTAATGTCACCTATATCCAATCATATCATATATTTTAGGACATATTCATATCTTATTCTAGCTAAAATAATGAACATTTCCATTACAAGCCCCTAAACTACCTAAAATTGAATATAAGCGAGTCTTACTAACTTCAATGAATTTAGCAAGGAAGAAAACTTATGAAATTGTATGAAATTTTTATACTAAGTCGCCTAAGTCGAGAAGATGAGCCGATGCGAGCCGCAAAGACGAGCCAACGCACGAAGCTGAGCTGAGAATCGATGAGCCAACCTGAGAGGAGCCACTTTTCCATACGCTCTCAAAATATTCCTTTACCCTTTAGAACCTTTCATCTTCATCTCTAAAATAAAGGCAAACCATTAACATAACATCAAGAAAATTGTATGATTCCATTGTTTGAAATTACAGAGAACTGTAAAGATTGTCCACACACTTAAAATTTTGATGAGAAAAAAATAGTAATGATCACTGATCATGCTTGTGCATTTGACTAACCTCCAAACAAAGCTAGAAATTGCTTAAATTTTGGATAGACTTCTATATGAAATAAATATAGGTTACAACAATGGAAGTATAACCAATACCAATAAGTTTATCAAGGTAAAACCTATAATCTGGGGGTCAATCAACCTCTGTAGGACATCTGAAAACTCAGAGAATTGAAGTTTTCTACCTTATTCCGTGTAGCTGCATCATTCCTTACTATACTCAGCATCAGCAGCCGAGGTATCCGTGTCGTTCAAACCGAGGTATCCATGTTGTTCAGCATCCGAGTTACTTGAATATATAAACCGTCTGACATTTACATCTCAAGTACTTGTGGTACAGCAGCGATACAATTGTTCACTAAGTTTATAACGATAATATTATTACAATTTGGTAACGACTTCTGTAAAAGATGACGTGTTTGTTTAGATTGCTGTCGGTTAGTATTTGATTAAATTTCTTTATAGTTAGGAGTTATTTAGTTTTTGACTTGTTTACTAGATTTTCTTTAGGTAGATTTTCTAAATATCTTTTTGTTTCTAAATATCTTTTTGTATTCTCCGCGTATGTATATATATATATAGAGCCTTTTTGTTGTTCATAATATATCTTCTCATCAACCATTCAATCACCCATTCTTTCACTAACAAATTGGTATCAGAGTCGTGCCCTAAACTTAGTCGTGCCAATAGATTGGTAAATCCTCAAATGTCGAACAAAAGACTCTAAAAGAAAAGGAGTCGAGCCTCCTCGAAGGCATAGTAAAAAATGACTAAGACTCCACTGTTAGAAAACACTCATACAACTAAGAGAGGCAATAAACCAACATCCTATTATTCAACTGGTTATAGAATACATATATAGACAGAATAGCCACCTTAACCGTTAGTAACCACCCTTAACCGCTAGTAACCACCTTTAACCGCTACTAACTACCCTTAACTGACATACATTGAAATACAAACAGTAAATTAGATTAATTACGGTTAATACAAGATTAAATAAACTAACAAATCATCCCCTTAATCTTGTATTTCGATCTTCACATTCTTACATTCTTCAAACCACTTCTTTCAGTAAACGTTCTAACCATATTCCTTGACAAGCAGCTGACGTCGCCATAATATACTCTGCTTCACAGGATGAAAGCTGCCGCCATTATCTCTGCCTTCCTTCTTCTCTGTCTTCCTTTCAATGGGCAACTGCTTTTCATCGATAGTTTTAATTACCTGTTCTACTTGTCCGACCAATGGCTTTTCCTCAACAGGTTTAATTACCTGTGCTGCTTCAATTGCACTGCCGGAAACAATGGCCTCCTTCTCCTTCTCCGCTTTCGTTTCTCCGGCGATCTGTTTTTCAATAGCACCGTCATTGTTTCCGTCCTCCTTATCCTTCTTCTCGCCGTCATAGGTGACCTCCTTCTCTTTTATTTCCTTTGCTTTCGCTACCTCCGATGCCACATTCTGGACCTCCGCCACAACGCCATCGCCCATCTCCTCGGATTCAAACTTCACAATTCCAACGATTTTCTCACCATCGCTTTTCTTCTCTTCTCGCTTCTCTGTTTTTTTCTCCGATTCAATCTTCACAAAGCCATCGATTTTTTCCCCATCGATCATCTTCTCTGTTTTTTTCACAGACGCAGCCTTCACATCTCCACGTTCTTTTATCTCTCCAAGTGATCCATCTCCGAACTTCACCGTGCCGGTCACTGACTCGTTCAATTCTGAGAACCAACTTCGACAACCAGTCATGTGATTGCTGGCTCCCGAATCTAGGAACCAAATGTTGTTTTTCTTCTCAATTTCTTCCGGGACAATCTTTTCTTCATAAAGAGCCATTTCCGTCAACTCTGGTGAACCGAGAGTTCGGACTTCACAAACTTGTGCTGTAAGTAAGGCTGGCTCATCCTCATCACTTTGCGTCTCAGCCAAGTGCGCCTGATCCTCCCATTTCTTCGATCTACAGTCGGATGCATAATGGCCAATCTTTTGGCAATTATAACACTTCACCTTCCGACAGTCTGAGGCATAGTGGCCTAGGCCTTGACAATTGTAGCATCTTACCTTGCTCTTGTCAGCCTTCTTCTCTTGATGAAACGAGTCGTTTCCACGACCATGGCTTCTCCCTCTCCAGCGACCACTGCGACCTCGCCCTCGGCTATGGCCTCCATTGTCGCTACGTTTTTTCTCTTTCCATTCTCCTTGAGTCAATAAGACATGCTCAACATTCTCTTTGTTGCCACCGATCCGTTCCTCATATGCTTTAAGACGACCAATGACTTCCTCCATGG